AGAAAATTCTGCCTCTCAGAGGAAACTCTTACAACACCCTGGTAGATGAACTTGAAAATGCGTCGTCATCAAGCTTTACACATGGCTGTTTTTCTCAGTTCCTAAAAGGTAGACATCTCTGGGATTTGCATATTTTGTCTGATAAATAACTAATAGCATAGTTTATTTAACCATTCATGGTTCAAACCACAAGGTGTATTTGTAAGTTAGAAAATATGAGGTAGAATGTGCACTTACAGCATTTAAAATACATAAAGTAAACAATAAACTTACAATATCAGCATTACTTCAAGTTCAAACACATTCATATCATTTTAAAAAATCTGATTATTTCAGAATTCACTTATCGTTTTCAGCAGGGTATTTTTGATCCTAACATCTGAGAATAAAACGGCATTGGCAGCTGTGCAAGAAATGTCAAGTCACATGATTGTTTTAATGATAACGTTACCTACTGTAATAATGTAGCTAACATTGCTTTGCAAACGTTTTATTTGTTCTATAAGCAAAGTATCAACATTTTGTAAAGTCAAAGTTGTGTCATTATTTATTGTGTGCAACCAGCAGTCAAAAACCCAACGATAAAACATTAATACCAAGCAAAAAAAAAAATTAATTAGTAATTCTTTTATGGCTTATGGGTTTGAAACCGTCTACATATTTTTTTAATAATTGACCAACAACATAAAGTGTGGAAAGCCTGGTTTTAACTCTCAATATGATCATTACTGCTGAAAATACAATTATACTAGTGGTTTAAACCTATGGAAAAGTGGAGCGAGTGATGTTAGTGGATAATGAATGGGTTGGCTAACTATTGTTATTAGGTAGCAGCTGATCATGACTTTTCTTCCCATTTCAAACGTTCAGCTCCTATCCATAGATACTAGCAGAAGCTTAGAGCTCCATTGTCTACAGAAAGTCTGGCTGTTGATGGATACTTACTTAAAGGTGACCTATCATGCAAAATGCACTTTTGTACGTCTTTTATACATGAATATGTGTCCCCGGTGTTCCAGGGAACTCACCAAGTGTCAGAAAACACAACCCTCTCTATTTTCCTCCATACCCAAATCTCTTAAAAAGGGGCTGCAACGGATCTGATACAGACTGATCCAGATTTGAACACTTCTGTGACGTCACAGAAGTGGCGCTACGGCTATTGGGCCAACTCCACCAATCAGGACGAGACAGCCACGGACATTGCCGTTCGAAAGCGCTGGAGACGCTGTAGTACATATGCCAGGCCTGTAGATGGTGCTGTTCTCACAGAATCAGCCCATGCAAAGACAGTGTTCAATTGAGCGAAATGAGGAATGGCTCAAATGCATGATCTGTTTGGTATTTTGAAAAATCAAAAGTATAAATATGCCTTATATAGGTATGGTCCTACACTATATTATTCAAATATAGCATGATAGGTCCACTTTAAGTTAACAAAAAGGGATGCTTTAAAGGCTTATTTTCCGACAAAATTCCAAAAATGTTTTTTTCTTCAGAAGGTATCTAGCTACAGAGATGGAATTTTGTTTTGATTCATCTCAGTGATTCGTCCTTCCGCCCCCGTTACAATGAGGGTGAAGCACTGAAAAAAGAAACATGGCCGTATGATGTTATTCTGAAAACAAAACCTTAAGTCTGGATAATCAGACAGTTGTGACTTTGACTTTGTGTTTGTTTTTACCTGTTTTGGACGGAAATTGTTTTAGTTTCTGTTTTAATGGGATGTTAACATCCTCTTGTTTGCCTTCGAGATTCTCTAGAAATGGGCAAGTTGCAGCGTGTCTGTCTGTGTTGTGTGTGTGTGTGTGTGTGTGTGTGTGTGTGTGTGTGTGTGTGTGTGTGTGTGTGTGTGTGTGTGTGTGTGTGTGTGTGTGTGTGTGTGTGTGTGTGTGTGTGTGTGTGTGTGTGTGTGTGTGTGTGTGTCCGTACGTACAGTACAGTACACAAAAACCCTGGCAGAGCCTCTCACTGAATTTAAATTTCATCTTTCTTTATTGGCACGGTATGTGAGTCCATCTCTGCTGCCAGGGCAGGCAGAAAGAGAGCAGCACAGAGAAGGTGATCTAATCAAATGTTTGTTTGATATTTGAATGTATTTAAACATTACAATAATGTTAGCAAATAGGCATGGAATACCATTTATTTTTTTAGAATAGCTCTAGTGTGATTCTGATGCTTCAGTGGACAAACATGTTGTCATTGTATCTTTAAAAAAAAATAGTGACATGATTACATTTTCCCATCCTGCCTAGTCCCTGCAGACAATTAGGATCGCAACTTTAAGAATATGTCAGCCAATTTAACACAAAACCTAGTGAAACACAGGCTGCTTGTGACATGACTGTTAAACACTCGATTATGATGCTGTGAACATTTCCCCATATAAAAAAAATATATAATTCTCTTTTGGGCTTCGTCATTCTAACAGCAACATTTTAGACTCTTCATTTCAGAGGAAGCGCTCACTGAGCTCAAGCTAACGTTGTGCAGTAGTTCTTAACTGTATAACAAGTTACAACTATTAGAGTTGCAGTCATTGGAACGTTGAGATGTGAAAAGGCGGTGTTGTCCTTTGCAAACCTTCATTGTGAAGCTCTTACACAAACAATATGATGTACAAACAACTTTTCTTATGGTGTTTGTTTTCCTTTACTTAAGCGGAAGCAAGGCTAATAGAGCAAACCTCATCATATTAATTTAACCACAAACTAAAGTTGTCACAATTAGGGCTAGCTATTCGAGCAGCTTCCAGGTTTCTAGTTTGAATTTCTCAATGTGATGGAGGGACATTAAATAAAAGGTTTGCTTTTTAGCCTGTGGCAATAAGCAAGGCAGTTATGATCCTGCTAATACCTTTGAGTTTTGTATTGGTTTAGTTGGTGTGTGTGTGTGTTGTGTCGCGGGGCGTTGCAGGTAAACAACATGTATGTACTCTCTGTCAACGTAACCAGGATAAATGAAGGTTAAAAAAACATTTACTAAGATGGGAAGGAAGTGAGGTACCATGTGGGTGTTAGAGTGTGTGTGTGTGTGTGTGTGTGTGTGTGTGTGTGTGTGTGTGTGTGTGTGTGTGTGTGTGTGTGTGTGTGTGTGTGTGTTGTGTGTGTGTGTGGTTCCGTGGCTTTTTAATGTCATCGAGCTTAATCAGATCAACACTCAGAATCCTGTTAAACACACACAGAGACACACACACACTAAAACTCACGTGGGACTAGAGGAAGTGAGACATCTGCTCAAACTGAACCGCTCACAGCGTCTTCCGTTCTTTGTCTTCCTTTTCTTTCTTTCTTTTCTTTCTTTCTTTTCTTTCTCTCGAATTTCAATCTGAACTGGTAATGAACCTTCCCGTTTTCAGTCATCACTTCTAGAAAACATAAATTCTTACACATCCACGTTTCGTACAGACTTGCCTTATCACACACAAAGGCATAAACGTAATTACACTTACATAATTAAACGTGTTATAAAAGATGTGGCAGCTGATGAAAGAGGAAGGGAGGCTTCCTGTCTTTGCTCTGCAGTGCAGGTAACTGTGAAGTGCAGTGTGCGAGGGGTGGATGTGGATTTGGAGTACACTCACAAACAGTGTACACACGTCTGAAGAACACACTTTGCCACCTTGGTTAAACACATTAACAGAGAAAAGTGCAGTTTACTTAAAGTGTTTAAGTTTGCAAAGTGGATCATTATAAATACTTGAAGCCCCGCCCCGTTTTCTATGTTAGCTTCTGATCAACCAGCATCTGTAACTCTGTACCTCTTCTCAATGGGTGTCATAACAGTTGGTGTGTCAGCCTGTGTCCCATGGCTATTGCTGCTATGACACCTGTATTTCTCTATGGGGACCAATAAAGGTTCATCTTATTTGATCTTATGCTATCTTAATGCCGTGTTGTCCCAGTGACTGCAGGTCAAAAAGTGATGTCAAGTTTACCAAAAGACTGTTGAAAGGACACTTAAAAAAAAAAAGACTGTATAAAAGATGTTGTAGTGCTTCTCCAAAACATACAAATAAATGTCCAACGTGCCGCCGTATTCAGATCATTTAGGTGGATCTCAAACTGGAAAACAACTTTTTAAATGAGAGAGAAATATTAATATCATATTAAGCCGTGTAAATTATTTGCATCGTTCCACACTGATGTAAAGTTTTACATCTGATGCTTCTTTCTTGTCACTCGAGCGCAAACAAAAGCCTTAATTTACATGTACTATGTAACTTCTAGTTTTACAACCAAACTGTAGCGCTACTAATGTATTGAAAAGAGTCACATGTTGTTTGGTTTGGTGCATGAACTTGAACATGTCTGATCATTTGAACCTCTGTTCTCTCTTAATGAAAAAAAGAAGTACATGTTTACAGTTATATATGGACTGTTATATTTGGTTAAAGTTCTGTCTTCATGTGGAATCAATGCTGTGTGTCTTCAGTCAGACACACACACAGGTTACTGCTATCATTCACTAATCTACACCAACTACCCTGCCATATTCACCCACTCACTGGAGTGTTGGACACACACACACACACACACACACACACACACACACACACACACACACACACACACACACACACACACACATACATACATACATACATACATACATACATACATACATACATACATACATACATATACACACACACCATTTTTTATAAATGTACCCAATCTAATAATCCGCTCACACACATTGTCTGTGTGTATTTGTGTGTGTGTGTGTACATGTGTGCTTCCTGTTCTCTGTACATCTGACTGCACCTTTATGTTTACATATACATGTCTCTTTGTTTGTTCCTTCATTATGTATGTGTGTATATTTGCACTCCTATTGTGCACATGTGTGTGAGCACATGATGTTGGCCTACAGTATGTGCTCATACATGTGTTACCGAGGCCGACGGTACAGTGTGTGTCTGGCCAATATGTCCCACGATTATAAATAGCATCCGAGCAGCGGGCCTGTTTTATTCTTTGGTGTGTTTTAAATAGGACATGGGTACAGAACCCAAAGTGTGTGTGTGTGTGTGTGTGTGTGTGTGTGTGTGTGTGTGTGTGTGTGTGTGTGTGTGTGTGTGTGTGTGTGTGTGTGTGTGTGTGTGTGTGTGTGTGTGTGTGTCCTGAGAGCAGTTTAATCATGTCAGTCTCTCCCTGTCAGGAATGAAGAGGAGAGACGGAGGAGGAGGAGGAGATTATCACAGGACACCAAGATGGAAACCATACCAAACTGTGAAGCTTGGTGAGTGCGCACAGACACACACACACACACACACAAGCGCACACACACACACAATTGGTTTGGTGCATAATTAGGAAGATTTGTGATCATTTTCTTGAACCTCTGCTCTCTCTTAATCTAAAACAAAACTACATGTTTATAGCCCTGCTCGCACATTATAAAGTTGTGATTAATATAAACTTAATATAGTCAATATAATTGTTCCAATGCAAACATTAAGCATGGGCATGCTAGGATTTGGGACCTGGTATTGGTGTTAGCTGAGGAGTCATTAGGATTCATCCTCTGGGGACCATCAAAATAAAAGTCATAGTACTTCTTTACCACTATATATAAAAGGGATAGTCCAACTTTGTTAACGGTCTTTGCTCTATTGAGTGCTTTTAACCACTTCTACTTCTAAATGTAGGATGAATTGGATGTTATACAATCTTAAACACGGATACACGGACAGAACATTTTTTTCAGTTAAATCAGAAACATAACTCATGCTGTAATGCAGAGTGACGTTGTAATTCTATCCCAATCCTCTTTTGTAATCAGTCAGCTAGGTCATAAGATTTGGACCATGACAGTCATTTGACAAAAAATACATTGATACAAAAACCAATGAGGAAATTAACCAACTTTCCGCTCTTCCTTCGTCAGCACCAAACCCTCAATGGAAGAGATCCGGCTGTGGTCTCAGTCCTTCGACAAGCTGATGAAGAACCCGGCGGGTCGAAATGTTTTCCGGGAGTTCCTGCGGACGGAGTACAGCGAGGACAACATGCTGTTCTGGCTGGCCTGCGAAGACCTCAAACAGGAGATCAACAAGAATGCCATCGAGGAGAAAGCACGATCCATCTACGAGGACTACATTTCCATACTGTCACCAAAAGAGGTAGGAAAGCTTCCCACAGAGAATCGATTACGGGGGTTTCTGACCGGGAGGGAGGCCGCTTTCTTAAAGGTCCCATGTCATGCTTTTCCGGTTATTACCAGTCCCTCTTGTGTGTTATGTAAACGGTCTGCAGAGTCACAAACCCTCAAAGTACACCCTGTAGTGAGTAACACAGAAAAGACCTGTCTATGCTGCCCCAGAACGCCTCGTTGGAGATTTTTCTGTTTCCATTTTTGTCTTCCTGGTACCAAGTGACGTAACGACGATCCAAATGGACCGATTGGTCCAAATGGAGTTGCGCCGTGTCTCGCTGTCTCGCAGACCCCACGCAGCAACCAGGAAACGACACCAGTGATCCACCTCACACTGTCGGCTCCTCGAGTCTCAAAGGGCGGAGCAGCGAGCCCCGCAACGTCCCGCCAACACGGCACCCAGACCCCAAGCAGCATTCTCATCTGTTTGTCCTTACTGGTGTCATTTTCTGGTTGCTAACAAACGCCATTGTAACACATAAACACACATCAGAGCACAGTGGGCTCATAGGGGGGGGGGGGGCAGGAGCTCCAACAAGCCGTTTAGGACAGAGAGTGAATACACATACTATACAGAGATGCTGAATGAGAAACCAATGTGAGTTTGGAACATTGCACAATATAAATCTATTCTAGTAGACCTCAACAATGGAATTATGATCAGTAGAAATGGCCATGACATGGGACCTTTAAAGTTCACCTATTATGCAAAATCCACTTCTTCATGTCTCTTCTACATCAACATGTGTCCCCTCTGTGGAAAGAGACTCTGAAAGTTTCAGGAACAAAGATTCTCTCTCATTTCTATAAAAACCTGTCTGAAAATGAGTTGATCAGATTTTGGCCACTTTATGATGTCATAACGATGGTTTTTTTCCTTGTGTAACCATTAGCGGCAATCAGCAACCAAAGGTAAACCCCCCCCACCCCCCGCACCTTTCGACCTGAATCGTCCTCCTAGTAAGGCACCATTGTTGATGCTCTTTGTAAGCCAAATCTCTCTCTGAAGGGCGTGGGAAAGGGGCCCTTCCTTATTTTCATTCCATAAAAAAGTAAGCAGACAGACGAATCAGCATTTTTTGAAACAGGGCGAAACAGAGGGGNGAAATATTATGTATTTAATTTAAATAAAAAGTAATGTTAGTTTTGTTCACAATTTGTTTAGTTAGTTTATCTTGTTTTTTTCTCCAAAAGAACCGATAAGAGTACCGTTAAAAGACCGGATCGATAATCGGTATCGATAAAAGTAGTAGTAGTACTGTTAAAACCTTAACGATACCCATCCCTACTTACCGCTCACTTACGTTAGCGGTGTCGTAAAACCGTGGGAAATTGAAAATACAATGCAGAAGAAAAAGATTCCAGTGGCCCCAAGAGGAAGATTCTTGGATAGCATGTTTCTTGCCAAATATGAACAAATAAACAATTAAATGTTACCTTAGTTACAGTAACCCAGATTATTGTATGCTTTATGTTGATATTTAATAATATTTAAAATAGGTGCAGCATGCACAAAGTATAGCTATGGACAAGTGAAAAATGTATTCGGACAAGTAAATTGCCAAACTCACTTGTCCATGGACAAGTACTCTCTAAAAACTTTTTCTTACACTGAATTAACTATTTGCAATTATTTTCACAGAGAGAAATTGCTTTATGATTGGTAATATTGGTTGTAATGATGATTTTTTAAACATTATTCACATTAACATTGACCATATATCAAAATGATCATGGTGTGATTTGTCCCAAACACATATTTTATTAAGACCGTAGAAGACTGTTTAAAGGTCGGGAACTTAAACTTAATTAAGATCTTTCTTAATATATTTTGCCTTTACTAAATGTTGCAATTACTGTGATTTGGATATTGTACCAGTCCTTACCAGTACCAGTCCTTATATTGTATAGTCCTTATATTGAAATTTAAATACATTTTTTATAAATTGTGCAGCTCTAGATATATTTTTCCTTTCTTCCTGAGTGTTACATGAAAAAAGTCAGAAGGCAGTCAGGTTAGCTTAACTTAGCGTAGCATGAAGACGACACGAGGAAACGGCTTGCTCTGTTAAACATAATGATATCCACAGTGCTGTGTCAGGGCTGCAGAAAATGTGGCCCATAATCATTCTGCTATAGAGTAATAATAAATAACAACTCTGGCTGGTTTATGTTTCTTTCATCAAATCCTAATGTCATAGGCAGGGCTTAAGACCCGGATGCAGCCGCAGTGCCTTGCAATACAGTAACACAGATTGGGAGAATAATACGAAATATACAGCCTAAAGGCAGGCTAATACCCACGCTCTGTTAGTCAGACTAGTTCAAAGGTTAGAAAATCTGCCAACTTTTACCTCTAAAGCTCACTAATTAACAAATTATATCTTGCTTAGCAGGGAGCAAGTTGCCTGGCAACTGCACTCAGACAAGAATAATACGATTATTTCCCAAATGTCTGAACTGTGCCTCTGGTTCAGCTATGCTGCATCATCATACCCCATAAGCAGTATTTCTCAACAATTTATTGAATGTTATCCGGTAGAGCCAATTAAATCCCCATGCTCCTGTTCCAAGTTCTCTGTAACTTCTCATGGGACAGCACATTTCAATTTCCCAAACAATTGCTCACTGGCTCTGCAGTACTGCCCCCCTGGAACTGCTTACATGGCTACATGTGTTCTTCTGTTGCTTTATTTTAATTAATGATTTCTATTTGGTATGATTGTTCAATTCATACCAAAGGAGAGTTGTGAAACTGTAAATCAATCCCTATGTGCATACTCGTACTTTGGTAATGGGTCCAGGAATCTGATTTCATATTTGTAAGAGTACCAACATTTTCAGATTCTTTAAACATGTACACAGGTTATACACAAACCTGTCTCTGAAGACAGATTTCTAGATTACTTGACACATTCACAAATTAAAAAAATCAGGCCTGGGCCATGAATCAATTTGATATTGCTATATGATATGAGGCTGGATATTCTATTCAATTTTGGAAATATCGTAATAAGATCTAGTCTTTCTCTACTTTCAAAGGCTGTATTACAGTAAGTAATGTACTTTTCTGACACTAGACTGTTTTAGATGCTCTATTATTAGCCTTTAGCCGTTTGGTCATTATAGCCACATCACAGATGGTTATCAATCTCATGGTGTAATTATTTTGTGTTAGCACCTATGGTCTACACTACAAGATCGCCACAATAAAGTGTATGCGGTCAAATGTTCTAAATGGTTCTACAACTTTCCACACACATTTGCAAATACTAATGCTATCTGTGGTCTTCGAATTAACCTTCTAAAAAGAATTCTACCAGATCAAATCAACCAAATCCTACTAGCAAAAATATGTGGCACTTGAATAGATGCAGTAGGCAGGCTGGTCAAACATCACAGAGATGTGTGGGTGGTGTGCCCCTTGGCGTATCTGTGGTGTATCAGGAGGTGTCATGAGGGTAGAGCCTCAGTAGGGCTAGACAAATGTACTGAAGCAGATGAAGATGGGTGTTTTTGTTTTTAGATGTGTTTAAAGAGCGAGCCTGGCTCTATCCTCAGCTCTTTCTGGTGGAAATGTTTTCAGATTAATTAATGCGTGGGAGGGACATAGTCTTTCTGAATCGCCTCACAATGTTGGTCCAACCTGTATCCGTCTGTCTGTATCAGGCCGTTGTTTTCTGGTGTCCTCTCTGGTGTTCATGGCTGCCCATCACTCTGTCAACTCTCTGTGTTTGACTTTCTCTGATTTGTCCATCTGTCCATGTCTACATCCTCCTGACGGTCTGTCCGCCTGGGTAACTGTCTAAGTGCCTCTAAATCTGTCTGTCGGTGTGCCCTTGTGTTAACTGCAGTGAAAGGCGGTATGACATTTAAAACAGCAGGATGGGCTGCTGCTAGCCCAGTGTGCCTAAATGTCAGCTTAGCCCACTGGTTATGGAGCCTCCAACCCTCCACCCCCCCTCCTGCTGCCTCTTTCTTTTGTGTTTTTGTTGTAACCCACCTTCGACCACCTGTGTTTTCTCGCTAACCCCTCACCCCAATTCTTCGAAACCTTTTCACTCCTATATTTACCCAATACTTCTAATACAGCCCAGGAACCTTTCTTATGTCTACTAGGGGTGTTGAAATGAATCCTTTTTACGATGCATCGTGATGCGGACGTGGATGATTCTGCATCGATGCAGGGACAGAACATAATCGATTATAGCGTATTAACGTTGCCCCCTGATCTTCCGGCTGGACAATAATGTTTTTTGTTGTTTTTTTCTGTCACACGAATATCAAATCGGTCGATGATGCAGATATCAGGGAACAGAATTGACAGCGGCACAGCGACTCCACACACGGAGCAGTCTGCTTTATCCACCAACACAAGAAAACCAGAACCAACCAGCAGAATGACCGCTCTGAATCAGGCCGTGTCGCTGCAACTCAGAGACACACATCGATTTATGTTTTTGAAAAACACTCGTTATCGTCATGTCAGGTTTTTTTTGGATTTAATCAAGTCTTGGATTGCAGAGTATGAACGTCCTGTTGCTATTTTCAGACGATAAATACGTGTGTAAAGTTTGTGAAGGCAGGAGGAAAGCTTCCACGATCACGTCTCCTCTGTTCCTCCAAACCCCACCCCCTCCCTGAAAATAATGAGTGACAGGCTGACAGTGACCCGATAGAAACTTTATTATTCACTTAATCACTCATTGAGATATGATGAAACTAACTTAATCTCATACAATCATGGGATTCATTTAACATCAAGACAGAGAATAAGTGTGCACCCACATGCACTATTTTTGTTTTGATATGCTCTTGTAAATACTCCTGTTGTCTGCTGTGTTCAGACTCAAGTCATGTTTGTGATCACACCCTACCCACTGGCGGAGGGACACTCGCAGCTCAACGAGGCTCCCTCCTGTCAGATGGAGGGAGTAAATACAGCGGTAAGCTTTGGGACGGCCTCCCCTCTCTCCGGCAGAAACAGGAAATGCCGTAATTGTATGTAACAACGGTTTCAAATCAGCATCTCTTTGACAAAACATTTAAATGAATAACTAAGAAAAACTCCAAACATCTTTAATTGTGTTGTCTTTTAGTTTTAAACCTGATGTTTATAAGCTTCTTAGTTTTTGTAACAGTCTGTAAATATACACAACTTTATAATAAAATGCATAGGTATGACTAAACACAGGTATGACCCTAAGTTAAACAAATGAGGTTGTTAACATCGCAATTTATCAGTGAATGTTTGCAGGAACTGTTTGTAAACAGCTTGTTTGCTGACGGACACACACAGCGCTGAGTCCGGTCAGGTTGGGCAGCAGGTGAAGTCAGCACCGATGCAGACTCGCTGTTTGAGGGCTTGATAGCCCACTACCCCTCCACACTCGTTGGTTTGGAACAGCACTTAATGTGGCGGACCCTCCGCACGAACGGAGGGGTAGGGTGTAGGGGTAGTGTGTAGGAATTGGGCCATAGTGTTCTTTTTTGAGCAGAAAACTGTTGCTAGAAGCTCCAGCTACACTGCAGAAGCATTAGTTTTTGAGGATGGAACAATTTCACACACAGATATAATAATAATAATAATAATAATAAATGTTATTTGTATTGCACTTTACATTTGAAACAAACCTCAAAGTGCTACAGTACATAATAAAAAAAGATAAAGAAAACCATTTGCAAGAGTCAAAATGTATAAACAGGTTAAAAAAACAAGTTTAAAAACACGTTTTTAAAAAGGAGAGGCAGGGTTATTAAAACCGGCTTAAAAAGCTAACCAAATGCTTTGTTAAAATGGTAGGTTTTTAGTGCTCTCTTAAAAGTGTTCACAGGTTGAGGAGCTCTGAGATGGTCTGGGAGTGAGTTCCACAGCCGGGGGGCAGCTGCACAGAAAGCTCGATCTCCCATAGTGCGGAGGTTGGTGTGCCGTTCCTTCAGCTTGTTAGTATTTCCCGAGCGGAGGCTGCGGGTGGCGGTTTGTGGTTCAATCAATTCCTTGAGGTAGGGGGGGGCATTTCCGTGGATACACTGGTGTGTTAACAGGGTGATTTTGAATTCTGTCCGGGAGGTGATGGGAAGCCAGTGCAGTGATTTGAGAATGGGGGTGATGTGCTCGTATTTGCGCACTCTCGTCAGGATCCTAGCAGCGCTGTTCTGTACGTATTGGAGCTTTTGAAGGCTCTTGCTAGGGATCCCGACGAGAAGTGCATTACAGTAGTCCAACCTGGAGGAGACAAAGGCGTGGACCAACTTTTCGGCGTCAGGAAGAGTGAGGGTGGGGCGGAGTTTAGCTATATTTCTAAGGTGGAAGAAGGATGTTTTGCAGAGGTGTTTGATGTGGGTCTCATAGTTGAGGCAGGGGTCCATTTTGACGCCCAGGTTGGTGACAACTGATGAGAGGGGAAGGTCCTGGTCGGAGAAGGTGATGCTTGTTATGGGGGATGATTTAACTTGGTGTGGGGTGCCGATGAGAATGGCCTCGGTTTTGGAGCTGTTGAGTTGTAGAAAGTTTTGTTTCATCCACGCCTTTATCTCCTCCAGGCAGATGGTGATTGTGGATGAAGGTGATGGTGACGGGGATGACAGTGGGACTGCAGAGCGGGGGGGACAGGGGGGGTCCATTTTTATGTAGAGCTGTGTGTCATCAGCATAGCAATGGAATGATAGTCCATGCCTGCTGATGACACGGCCGAGGGGGAGCATATACAGGGTGAATAGGGTGGGGCCAAGCACGGATCCTTGGGGTACACCACAAGTGACGGGTTGGGTGGGGGAATGAGCACCTCCCATGGAGACACACTCAGTCCTTCCGGTCAGGTAGGACCGGAACCAGATATAGGGAGGTTAGACCTATAGAATTGGTTTACTTTGGTTTATAATTATTGATTTCTGACGCACTTTCTAAATAATAAAAAGGGAGTTCATATTTATCTTACTGCGTGTATTCATTGATGAAAAAGAAGCCATGTGCAGTAAGTAATATAAAACATTGAGGATGCAATGCATTGTTAGGAATCGTGATGCATCGGGATATCAAATAGAATCGTGAAGATGCACAGCCCTAATGTCTTCATGAATACCTTTTTAATTTAACATTTCAGTTGTGTGTATATATCTTCAATCAGGTTATTATGATATAGTATCTCCAGGGCATGCAGGTTACAGAATATGTAGATTAATGCACATTAGTGGAACCAAAATGTACAACTGTGGGCTTTCCAATGTTGTATGGGATGTAAATGGTAACACTTTGGAAATGCTAACACACATTTTTTCCCCATGACCTAGATGCGGTGATCACCAGGAATAGGAAAAAAAACAATCACATTTTGTATTTTAAACTTTCATATAAAGAGTTGTGTTTCCGAGTCTTTTGTATTTGGGAAAGGTTCACACAGTTTAATACAGACATGGAAATATTCCTTGACTGAAAATAGTTTAGTTGCTGGTGGTCAAAATTCTGCCTCAGCCCCAGACCAAGGATTCTATCTACCTTTGATCGTTGCACCACTGTGTTCACAATGATAATAAGAAAAGTGTCCTTATGCATTTAGCTTTCTTTTCCCTGCAAAACTTCACTCAGGTTATGAATTGAACTTCTGGTTACCGTTACACCCAAGTCCCCAGGAAGTGCACCAGGTGTTGCAGCTACCAAGAATACTTTTTACCATACTAACTTTAAGATATGTTAGTGAAACAGCGTATATATGTACATATTTTTTTAGGAACATTTACTCTGCTAAAGCTGAATCAAGACTTATTTTCCCACTCCATTAATAGGTTATTCATAATTGTTTTAACATTTGAGCCCGGCTGTGACGCAGCCGGTTGGAGGTGTTGCTTAAGGAAAACCCAGGTGCGCATCCTCTTTAGGCCCAGAGTCCTTAAACATCCAGGTACACATCCTGGTCTTTTTGTTCTGTCATTCTATTTTGGCTTCATGCCCTACCTCCAGCGCTGTATCCAGTTCTCTTTATACATGGAGATAAATGTCTTGTCAACACACTATCAAACCTGGCTATTCATACATAATTTCTTATTTCATTCTCTATGTTTTTATGTTTCCTATTCATATGGTATACAAGCACTGTTGTTCCCTGTCTGTACACAAAAGCAATGCCAATCCTTATCAACCTATTGACTCATTTTTATGTATTTGTGCTTGTTTAGGATCATCCATGAGGACGGTTTCTCTGGTGATGACGTAAAGCAGTACAAGCCTGTCGTTTACAGCAACACCATCCAATCTCTGGCAGCCATCGTCCGTGCCATGGATACACTGGGCCTGGAGTACGGAGACAAAGAGCGGAAGGTCAGCACTCGCCCCCCCCCCCCCCCCCATGCGCGCGTGTGTGTGCGCACACACACACACTCTCTCCAAACACATCCACCAGATGCATACAGTGGAATCACATACCCACAGCAACATTTACACTTACATTTGGAAATTCTATCACCAACAGTGTGTTGTGTA